CATCAGATCGAGTTGAACGATCGCAGCATTTATAATAATCTGCGCATCCTTCTTCCCTTTGATCGAGGCCACAACACTCATACCTTCTCTGACAATGTTGCAAAGTGCCACAACAGTCATATTTTTCTTTGCAACCCAAATTATTAGGTCCATAGCCACAACAGTCCCATAATTCTAGACATCCCGCTGAATTTGGATCTTCCTTATCTCCAAAAATAGCATCACAGCACTCGTAAACTCTTTTACAGGGTTCTTGGTTTTCACAACAATCCCAGAATTCTTGGCACCCTGCTCCCGGTCTACCGCAACACGTGTATACTTCTAAACATCCCTGAGTCCCTCTTGTGGTGTCACAGCAGTCGTAGCGTTGTTCACATGGTTCAGTTTGACCACAGCACGAGTATCTTTCGTTACAAGATCCACTTTGTCTATTACAGCATTCAAAAACTTCTTCGCAGCCTGGGCTCGGATGAACTTTATTACAACATTCATAAACAACCTTGCAAGGGGCAGATTGATCACAACATGTGTATTTTTCTTGACACCCTGGACCTCTAAAATTGCAGCACCGAAAGACACATCCAGCTGAATCGCGTGATCCTCCACAGCATGGATATGTACCAGAAACTACTTTTTTAGTGGTTTTTTTATTACCTTTTACATAGTCTACTATATCAAAAATTTCATCAGCGGCGCATTCTCGAGTATGGATAGATACCGGATCAGGATGGAATTTCTCAAGGCGTCCAGGGTGGATTCTCATCGTTCCGCCAGGATGATTTGCAACTCTGCTTAAATAATGCCTTGTTTCTTTCTTTCCGTCTTTTTTGTGATATGCCGAGAGTGGTTCCGAATGTACATATGTTGTTGGGTCGGTATGTGTCATTTTCCTTCTACCAATATGTCTCCTAGCGGTACCTGATCTGTGTTTCTTAGTCGGGGCTTTGTCCCGATGCTCCGCTACCAACTGGCCCGGATGGTATGTGGTTTTGTTGCCAACGTGCTTTTTAACCACCTCATCAAGGTGGATTTTTTTGACCTTTTCAGTATGTATCATTTTTGATCTTGAATGGCACTTTGGATCGGCCAATCGGGGATCAGAGTTCTCTGGGCACTTGCTACACTGGGCCCCTTTGAACACTAAGCCAAGTGGATGATCTTCATGTCCAGCCATAAGCTCTTCGTATTTTGCAAGGATTCGTTCTGGTTCTGATTTCTTATATATACAACATTCGTTCAACTCATCACTTGTGTAGTTTTCTTTCCTATACGGTGATTTTTCTCTTAAGCTTTCATATAACCAGACCTGAAATGTTTTCGTGTTTTTAAGCGGATTTTGTCCTTGTCCTCTTGGTAGTCTCTTCTGCGTATTCCGAAGAATCTCTTTTGCAACGTCTACTGCTGCTTCACGTGGCCCTTTCATAGCGTCATCTTCAATGTCAAGTCCACGCATGACAATAATCGTATTATCCTATACATTTCCAGGGTGATACTGCGCCAAAGATTCTATGAATCTGGCCTGACGTTTATATGATCCTGCAGCACGAACATCTGGAGTCGTGAACCATAACACAGTTGCCAATTCGCTTATTCCAAAATTCACCATTTCACGAAGAATATTACGAGCAGTTTCGTCATCTCCTTTGGCCTCATCTGAATCGTCAAATCCTGGTGTGTCAATGTATATATATCTATTTTCGCAGTCGTAAATTGTGGTTTCTTGGGTGAGTGATTCTGCTTGATTGCCTTCGCGAGCATTTTTTGCACCAAAAACTCCTGCAGTGAAGCTTTTACCATTCCCAGTTTTTCCAATTGCAAGAATGCATTTTCGAGTGACTGGCTTTTCATCCTTGAGAAAAATTTTTTTTTTTGTTTATATTTTTGGATCGCACAAATGTAGCAACAGAAATAATGCTTACAAAACTTTCTTTGTCCTGTCCGTTTGAATCCTCAGTTGGTTGTGTGCATAAAGAAATTAGATTGCCACTTTCTTCCATAATTACAATATTTTTTAGTTCGCAACTTTCAGTATCTATGCGTAGAAAGTTGTGAATAAAATTTGTGTACAATTTACTATTGTTTTGTTTATACGTATTAAAAGAGTTTCGGATTATATTATCAAGAAATCAATTATTTTTGTTTATTATGAACGACGTAGTACAGTATGGGATAAAGGCCACCGAACAAGCTGCGGGATGTCACAAGCGGTTCATTTTTAATTAAAAACTAGAGGATGCAGATGTGGGCGGCTTCGCCGCCCGGTTGAGGCTGTTATATGTTATTTTTTAAAAGAAACAATG